CACGGCGGGGAGGGGGCCGCGGGGCCGCAGCCCCACGGCGCGGCGGCGGGCGGGATCCGCGGGACCATTGCCCCCGGCGGCGCAGACGGCGAGGTTGGCGGCGGCGTCCCGGGGGCGACGGTGACGGAGGCCTGACTCCCGAGGCTCCCAGGGAAGGAGCTGAGTGCCTCCGAGGGCTGCCCCACGGAGTGACCCACCGGCCCACATGTGTGCGCCTTGGACAGTTCCTCCAAGCTGCAATCGGGACCCAGCATGCTGTCGGGGTCATGGCCCACCTGAGTGCTGCACTTGCCTGCTCAGCCTATCGACACGGGGTCGCGGTGGACACTGTCCCCATAGGTCAGCACCTATGGGTCTAATTGATATAGCTGGGAGGATTCAAAGTCGTGATCCAGATTTCACGAAGCTCAGGAGAGGAGGTTAGGCTGCTGCGTGCCTAACATAGTTCACAGGAGAAGTTTTGATGCAGCCTTTGAAATGGACATAGAAGCTTTGCTAGGGCACATCATGAAAGGATATAAAAATGAAGGAGATTGCACATAAAAGGCCGATTACTTAACATCTTTGTAATCAAACACAGGTAATTAAGTGGCGACAGGTGGCTCAATAACGATGTTCTGTTTAAAAAGAGAAAAGGATAATGGCATCAAATCAGACATAATGTTTCCAATGGGGAAAGGTCCCAGTTGCTTCTTGCTCATCCTCAGACAGTGATTGTGCCTCACTGCCAGACTTGGATACCTCAGCAGTTTATCTACCCAGAAAGATGAAGGTGTGATTATCGCATAATAAGCTTACTCATGCTCACTTTGCTCTTGCTGGCACATGCACAGTAGTTACTRTGTGATGACAGTCTTCTCTGCAACAATCCAAGTGTGTCTTCTCTGCAGCCTGGGGTCCCACTGTGCTGCTGTGCCCTCACCATTACAGGTACATGTGCTGATCAGAGCAAAGCTGCCATGGAAAGAGGATGATGCTGCATCCCTGGCTCAGTGCACTGTGTCTCCAGCTGTGCTGTCAGCACCAGATGGGCAGCAGCCATGTGCAATTCCTGCTCAAGGTGCCCTCCATCCATCCTCAGGATGGCAGAGAGAAGAAGAGGCTGGCCCCTCTGCCCCTTTCCCACTTAGGACACTTGGCAGCAGCTTTGTGGTGCATAAATGGGCTGTTCAAGGGGTTCATGGCAGGGATGCGTGTCAAGCACCAACTTTCCACTCAAACTTACAGTGTCATTTCAGCTCCTAATAATAGCCAAGGTACCTTTTGGGGGTTTGTTGTGGGCTGTTTTTTATTTCAGAACAGGCTGCTCTTGTTTGCTATCAGCAGTGCAGAATCACTACTCATGGCTGGATGAACATGAGTCCTGGCTTTCCCTACTTCACCTGCATTGCTGTAGCCATGGTTGCTACAGGGGTGCTTCTACAAGGAACCTCAGAGGTAGCAGGAGGCTGCAATGAACATTTCTCGATAGCTCTGTGTCTTGGGAAATTAATTCTCTCAGGATGTAACATTACTTCTAGAGAAGCTGCTGCATTTGGAGTTACAGCTGGTGCTGATGAGGCATTGTTGTGAGGAAGTCCCACAGATAGGATTCCTCTCTAGTCTGACTAACAATGTCCTCACCCTCCTTGGGGTCTTTTGAGCTATTCCTGAGGACTGTAGTGCCATTTCTGTCCACAGGTGGGTTGTAGCTCCTTGCCTCAATCAACTGAACACTGCAGAATTTGGAGCATATGCCTCATTAGTGAGAAGGGACTCACTAGTGCAGGTGTGATTCATCCCTTTGGAGAGCACATCAGAGATCAGAGCTTGATGAAACGGCTTGACTAACAGAGGCAGTAACAATGCAGACAGGGGCCATGTCACAGTACCGAGTAACAAAACAGCAGCCACAGCTGAAAAAACTGTGTAATGGGACAGAGTGAGGGCACAAAGCGGACACACCTGTGTCTGGGTTTCAGCTGGGAACAAACCAAGGCTGTTGAGAAAAACTGGAGTACATCCTCCCACAAATTCCTTTTGGAGGTTCTTCGTGTATCTCTTTTTCTAGACAAATTAATCTTGGGATCACGGTGGCTGCATAGCATCCACTGCATACTAAAGAGCTAGTTATTCTGGAGCCAAATGCCAGGGAACAACAGTGCCCCGCTGCAGTGAGAAGCACATTAATTCCGGCATGGCTGAGCAGTGAGATGTGCAGGGACATCTCTCCAGAGAGAGCGTGGCTCGTCTTCCATCTGTCAGCACAAAAGAGGACAGGCCTGAATCCTCAAGACATGAAGATTATATTATGTAACATGCACGCTCACTGCTTCCCGAGACAGAGCTAAGTTAAACTATCCATGTGATTCAGTCCAAGGCCAAGCCAGAGTGGAGCTGCATTTCCCTCCTGAACCTGGGGGATTCTGGAGCAAGTGAGAAGCCTTAGGCTGGTGGGGGAAGGTAGATCCAATTCCAGCATGCAGTGACAAACAGCACTGCCTGCAAGTGTAAAATCATGGCTTTCTGTRAGAGAGCTTATCAAAAAGCATGCCCATGAGCAAATGCATGAGCATTTTTGGGGGAAGGGGTTGGTCAATTCTTTTTGGCTTCACTTGTGCATAGAGAAAATTTTTGACAAAAAATGGAAATACTGTTAAACAAGAGCTGCATTGCCTGCCCTGAATTCAGGAGACTGTAATTCCACTTCAGTTAAAGGCCTAGAAAAGGAGTTTAAGAGTAAAATGTGTGAGCACTGCCCATTAAAAAGTCTCCAGCAAGCTGTTGATGGGAAGGCACAAAACGTCTGAGATGTTTTGCAGCAGTTCTCTTGATTCTAGTTTCTCAGTCTTTATCATTTCTCTCACCTGAATTTTCAAGAACATAATCATCTAGAGTAAGTATGATATCATTCAAACAGTTTGCTAAAGCAAACTAAACTCTAAGCTGGATTGGGCTGAGAATTGGGTTACTAATCAGGAATCTGTCCTGTAACAGATGAACTGCCTAGCCCTCATTTATGGCCTTTCCTTCCCCTGTCCTCTCCATTGCTTTTAGGGAGTTTCAGAAACACATCATGTTTCAGTAGTCATATAGATGCCAAGTGTTGATCTTCAGGCATATTGTATTTGGACAGGCATGTGTCTCCTCCAGAGGAAGCAAAATCAGTGACAGCTGGAGATTCTGTTTGCTTGAAGATTCAGTATTGCTCTTCAAGTTTTTCTCCACAGGAGAAGAATAATCCTGACASTATTACAAAGGCATTATTGTTCCAGCTGTAATCCCTGTGCTCAAATCCACCCTTCAGGTTACTTGCATCCTGATTGCAAAGAGAGAACTTCCCTTTGTGGCAGATAGATTGGAAGTCACTGTTTTCTGTGGTCAAATAGCATTGAAGGTGGAAAGGCTGCAGTGTGATCCTGTAATAAGCCTACAGGAATGGGAAAAGAGGATGGAGGGCAATGGAACAAAAATAATAGTCCACAAGAGAAATGGCTGAATGACAGGAAAAACACAGTTGTAGAAAAGCCAGATAATGGAGAGGTAAGGGTCAGAAGAAGTGTGTAGGGACAAAGGTGAAGCTCCCCATATATTTTAATGTGAAAAAACAGGACTGGCCAGAGGGCCAGGCTGTGCCCACAAAGCTTATAGTGGGAAAACAAGGTAAGTGCAMTCATCAGTGTGGAAGAAGGGAATTGTTTCCAAACCTTTTCACAATGTGATACATTTGTGAGGGCATAGACCTGAGCTTTCCTCTACAGCTTCATGTTTTTGGCACATGAGAGGCCACATTTCACAGAGATGTCCCAACCCTTTCTTAGCTTGTAAAACCAAATAACATGAAGAAGATGTGACAGAAATTCTGCTTTTCAATGGGGCAGATAAAACTGGGCTCCCTGAGCTACCATGTGTGGCCTAATTTTAGCCATACTCCTATAAGAGATCAAACCTTCCCTACTTCAGGCATGTAACAAAAGTAAATAATTTTCCTGGAATTACTCCTCACCCTACCTCCTTCCTACACACCATTTTTGAGTCTCAGTCACAGTTCACACAGCTAGGAATGCAATTAATTAAGMTGATACAGCTGGCTCAGCTTTGCAGTTGTAGAGCCCACGGCTGGCAAATGTCACCTCTTTCATATCAGACATCTCTGTTGCCAAACTACAGTCAACTTCACAGTCACATCTCTGTAGAAAGCACTGCTGTGCAAGTGGAGGTGAACCACAAGGCAGGCAGGAAGCACATTAAAAGAGAGGTCTGAGTATAAGTTCTAGGAAAAAAATGCCCAAACCCCTGAAAATCACTGAAGCAAAACTGGTAGCACTGGTCTCTCTATAGGACACACTCTCAAGACATAAATTTATATTATCATAGAAAATTATAATATGCCAAATAGTAAATATAAAAGGAATGTTCAATTGGTCTGCTTGTCTTTGGATTAATGGAGAACAAAAATTAACTTAAGAGGGAGAAAATTAAATCACTTCATAATTTCCACTTTTCAGAAGACCTGAGCAAAGTTCTTTGGTAAGAGCAAAGCTTTTAGCAAGCTTATGCAGATGTTTTACAAACACAGTAAACTACGTATGTGATGGAGTCATC